TCTTTTAAAACCTTGGTCAGATTATGATAGTGTTTTAGTAACTTCAGACCAGGTGAGGTTTTTCATCAATGAATAAAATTTGATAAATCTTTCGCTGAACGAAATTAACTATTTAACTTAATAGCACGAAGTAGATAAATTCATAGTTAAAGAACATTCACACCAATTATGCAATGCACTACCGGTTCCCTTGTTTAGGGTTTTTGTCGGACTAGAAGATGAGGTTTGTAAATAATTTTATCTTAAAAATTATTTAATTCTACTTCGTTTATTTATTCGAGATGTACTATCCACAGACGATAGTGGACTCCCATAAAACAACGGACATTTCATATTTTCTTATTCGTGATATTATTGATGATATTATTGAAATATATGAGATAAATCGTAAAGAATGCACAAAGTATCTAAAAGATCTTGCGTATAATTTTGCATCTGGCACATTTGTTGAAAAAGATACTACCACATCAATAACAAAATCTGAAACAAAAGTGAAAGATGAGCCTGATATAAAAATTGAGCCAGATATGGATACATTTCCCAATAATTGGGGGGTTGATGATTCCAAAGAAGCCAATGCAAGTTCAATTTCGAATCAAGGAATTGTGGGGTATAAACTTGAGCAGATAATAGTTGAGGTATATAAACTTATTTAGTATATTTCAATTCTTGTCATATTTGGTTGGAAATAATACCAATTAAACTTTTAAAATAATTAAATAAACATAGGAGATATTTAGTCATATCTTTCGCCTACCGCAACCTAGATTTAAGCCCATATTTTATCACTCGCTTTTGACTGAAATATGCAAGAGCATGCATGAGTCATTTCCACCGATCATATCCTTTGTTATATTTGATGCTTTTATACTATAAATATTTGAATTAAGCCACATATTAATTCCTTAAGTTTGTGGATGGCTCTCTTTACCTCGGTAAAGCCATAGGAATTTTATTTGATCGCCTTGGCTTTATGGATGTTGAATGTTGCTACAGATTTTGGAATTGGTTTGCTCATCATCTTAGTAACTTTGGATTTGTGTGGAACTGGAAAGATTGGTAGGAATTCAATATTATTGATGAGCTATAATCATCTTAAATGGCACATACTTAAGGCGATTTTTTCGAATTGCAGGGAGACAACTTTACAGTTGGACCCATTGCATCCAAAAGTATGTTTCATACGAGAGACTTTAGAAAAGACCATACGCTATAGTTATTACGATCGGATCAGGTCTACAATACCTGAAGAATTCTTTGTTTTATTTCCGGCAGCTGAGCCAACTACAAATTTTCGTTATGAAGATCCCGGTATGCATAAGATTCATTCTTCTTTCTAAAAGTGTCTTTTACATGTAAATTTATGTGCTTGCTTTGTAGATCACTATCTAAACAATTTTGCAACAAGCCTGATAAGTAAGCTTCGAAACAAAAATTCTAACAGTGAGATACAAACACATCTGGAAGAGGTAGGCAAGAGTTTTCCTGACCTGCCTGCAAAAGAAAAAGAACAAACAATTCGTGATTTGTTTGTACAATGTGTGCTGATGCTAGGCAGTAAGAGTTTTAGTCATGTGTTAAACGTAATCGAGAGGTAATTAAATATGTTCTTCCACATACTATATTATTATTTCAGACTAAAGATTCAAATTACTGTTATAATTTGTTTTATTCAATTGCAGGTATCTACTGATTCTGCAATCTTTGAATGAGACACCTGAGGCAAGATTACACACTGTAAAGATCGTCGCAGAATTCTGGGTGAATAACACACAAGTAAATATTCATTAACATTCAAATATTTCTTTTACTAAAATTAACTAGCAATTGTCATTATTGTATATATAGTTCTTGGGAATATTACTCGATAAATTATTAAATTATCGTGTAATTGATGCTATTTCTGTAATATCATGGCTGTTCACAGATGAGATGGAAAAAGACATTGCAAGGTAAGATTTACATTATACTTTTTTAATTTTATCAAATTTAACTTATTAATTCTCCAAATATGGAATTTAAGATCATACATGTGGGAAATTATGAAAAACACTATTAACAAGGTCATATCACGTGTAAAACAAGTAACAAGCAAAAGGGAAACGGTATTAAATCCACAATCAGAGGTTGGCGTTCAAGGGATTGACATTACATCTGAAGGTGATTATTATTTCATGTTAGGCTATTATGCATATCGTCAAGGTTTATGCCTAAATCTTTCTTAATCAATCTTAAGAGGATAAAAAGATCAATGCTCAAGAGTTGCACACAGTTGAGAGTACACTAAATGCAGTTACCAGAGAACAGAAGGAAGTTTTATTAAAGATTGCCCAAATGTTTGTTAACTTACTCGATAGTAAGCTGAAAACCTATGAGAGTCAGGGAATTACGGACCCTATGTCACAATTATGGTTCTGGTGGGCATATGGATTTTTCAAAGAGATTGCAAGGACGGCAAGTGTTAATAGAATACTATATGATATTATATATTTTATATAACATTTTAACCATTGTTTTCATATTCAATTAATTTATCTATAGTATCAGCCGCAAATATCGACATTTCTTGTGACCATGGAGACTATAGTTATTACACCGGACATCAATCCATGCATTCTGAATGTGATTGAGATGGTAAAGGCGTTTGAGCATATGAGAAATGCGACAATCGAAAATGACTTTTCATAGGGTTTTGCAAATTGTACACCTGCACCTCTTATAACCACATGATCGATTTACATGTTGTTATTGCATTGTTCGTAGAGGTCATGTAAATCTTATGAAGTTTTGGGCAATAATCGCTTTCCAGTTAACTTTATACTTTTACTATACCTACGCGCAACTATTGATACATTTTTCCTACTATTAGAGATTATTGTTCTATTTGTATGTAATTTTTTTTTTTTTAAAAAAACAATATAAATAACGAAAAATATAAACAACAATGATCATTTCTATTTTAGACAGTGGGTACATAGATGTATCCACTACATTACACCTGATTAGGATTCAGGGCACAGGAAAAAAATTGGGCATGCCTATATAGGCATGCCTCTAAGCTAAGGCATGCTTCTCATGCCCATGGGCATACCCTTTTTAAATCATGTGATTAACATATAATTCACAACTTCTTAAAAATCTCGCATGTTGATTTAATATCTACGGTTCTAGTTTACCTAAACTTATTAGCCAATTAAAATAACTTTGAATATCACATGACAAGGGCATGCCTTTTGGACTTGAGGCATGCTCATGGGCATGCCCCATGTCCCTGTGCCCTGAACCCTAAGATAGAGATTAGAGTTAGGTGTTAGTTTTAAAGTAAAATTATAATAAACAAGTATAAGTAGGTTTTAGAAGATTTTATTTTAAATTATAATCCGTGACAATTATTATTATTATTTTTTTTGGTATTAAGATGACCTCTTGGTCGTGCTATGCTTTATTATATAAGAATATTATTATACATATTTGGTGAGTATATTTAGCTATACCTGCACTTTTTGAGCATCTATTTAAGTAGTCTGTCTATTACTAGGTTCTATACTATTTGCCATATCTGCAACCTGACTAGAGGATTACCCATTTTAAACTCTCTGTGCCTATGTACTCTGAGGCTTTCTATAATTGGCACCATTTCTCTGACCTTCCAAAAACCAGTTCTTTTTGATATAACTATTACACAACCAACCTTGAACTACTTTATTCTTGAGGTAAACCTGGCAGAACCTGCAGTATTCCCACTTTATACCACATCTAGTCTGTACTTTAGTTTGGTATACAGGGCCGTAGCCCATTATTTGCAGCTCAGTTTTGTCTATTCTGGGAGTATGAGTAGTACTAAGTCGAGGTTATTGTCTATAGTTTTTTTTCCTCAGCTTTTCGTATCTAGATTTAACCCCAGTTTGGCTGAACTCTGCTACCCAAACCAACTTTTGCCCTTGTAGAGTTCACTCAAACCCTAGTACATACTTTACAGACTATTACCAGTATCTCTAACTACCCAAAACTACTAATCCAGATGGCCTAGAAGAGCTGTGACCTGCTCCTGGTCCCACGTTGGGTCCTTTTTCTCTGGTTACTCTCCTGGTAGCCTAGTTGGTAAAGTACCTTGCTTAACATTTTGGACCTGTTCAGTTTTTTGCCAGTTCTTTTAGTAATAATCCTTTATATCATATCATCAAAGATCTGTGCTACCTCTCTACTCAGAGCTTGCCAAGCGGACGTCTATCTTTCTAGTTTCTTGGATTTACAATGATCTGAAACTTTTCATATAACTTATATGTTACATGAAGTCCTGTGATCTCCTAATTTTGTTGGTGCTATCAAGGTTACAGAAAGCTTGTTCCAACTGATTATCAAAAGACAGTAGCCATTATACAGATAGAATATTTGAAATTCGTTGCTAGTGGGTTTCGAACCTCCTATCTACTTAATATACCACTTGGGGATGTAACAACTTAACTACTTCACTAAGTCGCTACACCCTTCCACAACAATTATTAAAGATATAGGAACCATAGATGCAGACTTATTTACATCATTAGTTATGACTCAATTGCATTCTATATATTATAGAGTATAACTAGATAATATAAATTTGCATCTATAGTAAGAACATATGTATTTATAAATATATAAATATATTTGTTTATGTTAAAATTCAAAATAGTCACTATTTTTAAAAAATAAAACTTGACAAATTCATTATTATAGAGGAGTTTTTAATCCTTTTTGCAGAACTTCAAAAAAAATATACGGAAAATTTAGAAAATATTAAATTTACTAGTAATAGAGAAACAGAGATTACAAGAAATTTTATAAACCTTAGTTAAAAGAATCTAAGAAATAAAAAAGTTCAATCTTTTAAGGAATATGTTCAAATTCCTACAAACTTAGACGTTAGAGTTACTATATGTAATATTAATCAGAATGCATCTACAGATTAATAATAGCAATTATCAATGCCTATAGGTCAACAATTATACCAACCAACAATACCTACAGGTTAACAGCAACCAACAATGCTTTTATTATTTAGCGAACTAAATAGTAAAAATCCTAATAAAATCTGAGAAAATATAAACTTGAAGCTTTATTCTGTTTTGGATTTGGCAAAAGGCTAAAGTGTAAAAATGATAAAGACAAAAGATATTATTTATTATTATTATCCGCATTGCAAAATTAGAATTTTGTTGATAAATATCCTGTGAATATATAGCTAAATAAGGCTACAAGTACTTTTAGTAAAGAGTTAGAACAATTAGAAAATTTTAGCTTAGTTCAAAGTTCTTCGAGATCTTCAAGTATGCACTTTTTTTTCTGTAAATTGTAATTTTTTTTCTGTAAATTATAATTATTTCAAATCTGATAATATTTAAAAGGTTTAATGGCCCAAGTCGAGAAAAGAATAAATGATAAATATTCCAGATATATAAAAAAGCAGAAAATAAGCAGTAATTTAGTTTTTTTAAATCACTCTTGTTATAATAAAATTGCAATTATCAAAATTCAGTTGATTTAAAATTTTCTTTTTAACAAGAGTAGCTTGTATTATATTAGCATGGAGTTTTATAATTTAGTAATTTTAT